TAACCAACGAAGGCGCGGACGGAAGACTGGAAGGTAAGACTCTGTACTTTGTCCACTTACTCTCCATGCTTACCGACAGTGCCTGTGGCCGTTACCGGCCTGTCAAAGAGGGAGCTGTTGTTTTAGGAGAGCCAACCACCGGCGATTTGAGAAGCTAACCAGCTAACGCGCAGACGGAAGACGGGAAGATATGACTCTGTACTTCGTCCACTTACTCTCCATGCCTACCTACAGTGGCTTTGGCTGTTACCCGCCGGTCAAGAGGGAGCTGTCGTTTTGGGAGAGCCAACCGTCGACGAGTGAAGAAACTAACCAGCGAAGGCGCAGACGGAAGACTGGAAGGTAAGACTCTGTACTTCCTACACTTACCCTCCATGCCTACCTACAGTGCCTGTAGCCGTTACTGTCCCGTCATAGAGGGAGCTGACGATTGTGGAGAGCCAATCATGGACGACTGGGAATGCCAACCATGAAAGGCACGGACGGAAGACTGGAAGGTATGACTGTGTACTTCGTCCACTTACTGTCCATGCCTGGCTGTAGTGCCGGTAGCCGTTACTGGCCGGTCATAGAAGGAACTGTCGATTGTGAAGAGCCAACCATGGACGACTGGGAAAGCCAACCATGAAAGGCACGGACGGAAGACTGGAAGGTATGACTGTGTACTTCGTCCACATACTCTCCATGCCTAGCTGTAGTGCCGGTAGCCGTTACTGGCCGGTCATAGAAGGAACTGTCGATTGTGGAGAGCCAACCATAGACGACTGGGAAAGCCAACCATGAAAGTCACGGACGGAAGACTGGAAGGTATGACTGTGTACTTCGTCCACTTACACTCCATGCCTACCTACAGTGCCTGTGGCCGTTACCGGCCTGTCAAAGAAGGAGCTGTCGTTTGAGGAAAGCCAACCGTCGACGACCGGGAAGCTAACCAACGATGGCGCGGACGGAAGACTGGAAGGTAAGACTCTGTACTTTGTCCACTTACTCTCCATCCTTACCGACAGTGCCTGTGGCCGTTACCGGCCGGTCAAAGAGGAAGCTGTCGTTTTGGGAGAGCCAACCACCGGCGATTTGAGAAGCTAACCAGCTAACGCGCAGACGGAAGACGGGAAGATATGACTCTGTACTTCGTCCACTTATTCTCCATGCCTACCTACAGTGCCTTTGGCTGTTACCCGCCGGTCAAGAGGGAGCTGTCGTTTTAGGAGAGCCAACCGTCGACGAGTGGAGAAACTAACCAGCGAAGGCGCAGACGGAAGACTGGAAGGTAAGACTGTACTTCCTACACTTACCCTCCATGCCTACCTACAGTGCCTGTAGCCGTTACTGTCCCGTCATGGAGGGAGCTGACGATTGTGGAGATCCAACCATGGACGACTGGGAATGCCAACCATGAAAGGCACGGACGGATGACTGGAAGGTATGACTGTGTACTTCGTCGACTTACTCTCCATGCCTAGCTGTAGTGCCGGTGGCCGTTACTGGCCGGTCATAGAAGGAACTGTCGATTGTGGAGAGCCAACCATGGACGACTGGGAAAGCCAACCATGAAAGGCACGGACGGAAGACTGGAAGGTATGACTGTGTACTTCGTACACTTACTCTCCATGCCTAGCTGTAGTGCCGGTAGCCGTTACTGGCCGGTCATAGAAGGAACTGTCGATTGTGGAGAGCCAACCATGGACGACTGGGAAAGCCAACCATGAAAGGCACGGACGGAAAACTGGAAGGTATGACTGTGTACTTCGTCCACTTACTCTCCATGCCTAGCTGTAGTGCCGGTGACCGTTACCGGCCGGTCAAAGAGGAAGCTGTCGATTGTGGAGAACCAACCATGGACGAATGATGAAGGCAACGAACGAAGACCCAGATGGAATACGGAAAGGGAATACTACATACCTCGTTTATTTACTGCCCATGCCTACCTACAGTAAAGGTACCATTGTCTTCTGGTGATGAGGGATTCTCTTCCGAAGATTCATGGCCAGGTGGACAAGGAGTTACCGCATGGAACTGGAGGCGTGTAATCGCGTACCCTTTTTATTGTAAACCAAACTGTTGTATATTACTGTTGTGGCAAACCGGCGGCCCAAGTCAGTCGGGGACGATTTCCCCTACCTCGCCAGTCCCCCTACCTGGGCAGTGTATTGTACCTTTTAATAATTCGGAGTAAATATTTCGTATGTCCCTGCAGTTGTTAGTGATTACGGTACGGCGAAGCCTCCGGAATGAGGTAAGGTGTGGTAAGCAGTTGAATAACTGTCATCCAAAGGGCTGCGTTAGCTGATAGGTGCCTATGGAACACTAATGGGGGAATTGAACGGACGTTGTCTGTTGGATGGGTGGCTGTCTCCAGCAGTGGTAACGTAGCCATCATATAACGGTAAGGATTGCGACTAATCGACCAACCTTGGAGGCTTGGTACGTGAACATATTTACGTACGTAGAATAATGCAATGACGTCCACTAAGCCTCGTTGATAAACCCTTGTAGGTCAGGAAGGAAGTGATTACGGAAGGCCTTTAGGGCGGGAACTGGGAGATACGTAGAGACTGTCTGAGGCCGCTGCCGGCCACGGTAGACGATAAGTAGGAATAGCTGTAGCTGGTAACGAGCGACATGACCCACCCGCAGGGAAGGGCATATCAGGTCAACTAACAAAGCCGGTTGGGAGGGACAGTGGACTGTGAAGCAGGCGGAAATGGAAACAGCCGATGAAGGAATTGTCGATTGCGGTAAGTTTGCGTAAAAGGGAGCGGTACTGCGGGAAATGATATCGGCACGGCGTAGATTACAGGCCTTCGGAAGGGGGAAAGGGGAAAGGCGTGGGCTAGGCGGTAGAGGTGTATGTAAATACGGCAGTGGTCTAAGAGCCGAATGCCTTTGGTAGCAGCTACCCCAAAGTGACAGACGTATGTTTTGACGGAATAGGCTGTAAGCCTTTTAGGGGGGGGGGAGGGGTGGGTGTTGCAGAATATGCGGAGAGAAGGCCTGCAGGGTCAGGTGTACGCCCGGAGGTTGAAGGCGGGCTGGAAACGTTAGCGGACAGCTGGCGTAAGTGGTAGTCCTAATGACGAAATGGGAATGCTGGCAACTCAGTTAGGTGGACTCCGGAATGCGTAGGAGGAGAGGCAAGTGGACCATGATTGGAAACCGAGAGATGATGACGGCAATCACTACGTAAACCGAGAAACCGTCAAACGGGTAGTTAACAGCGCAACTGCAACGCATGGGGAACTGCCCAGAGGTGGTTTGGAGTATGAGAAGTTTGTGTGCGTAAATGCATAGAAGTTGCATTGTATGTTGGACATAAATTTTAGGCAACAGGGAATGGGAACTCCACGTAACCCCTACGGAGGCGGGTTGCTAGGTGTGTTTGAATGTTTCCTTCTAGCCATGGAGGCCACAGGTCTTCCATTACGGCTACCTTACGTACTATTGTTTGTTCAGTAGGTGTGCTTGTGGTATTTTTTTTTGCCGCCGCGGCAAAAAAAAATACCACAAGCACACCTACTGAACAAACAATAGTACGTAAGGTAGCCGTAATGGAAGACCTGTGGCCGCTTATTTGGCACCGGTCGACTTGACTTCCTGGGTTAATCAATTCGCCCAGTCAAAGGACTGTTTCAATTTGAAAGCTCTTGTGTTTGGAAAGATGAAAAAGATGGCGTTCGCATGCAGTAAGGCTTTAATGCCGTCAGACAAAGCATAATGTTTTGACTGAAGTCAGGACAGGACTCAGAGTGTACTAACTAGCATTATCGCTATGGCTAGACCAGTTATCGCGGATGTCCATATGTTTCGACTGGGGCAGTTCTAAGTAAATGCATCTGAAGGACCGATGGTTGAACGTACACAGCACTCGATCCTCCGGGAAGAAGCCTAAATCTCGCTCATTTAGGCGGGTGGGGTGGGGAGAATTTCGGCAGTAGTAGTGGAGGAG